ACATACATGTTAACACAAAAGGAAAACTTAAAACTCAAAAAGACAAGATTTATGTTCAGTCCAAAGCTGAAAAACGTAGCTTCTGGATGTAGAGTAGGATCGCATTTCCGGAACAGAACGGCCACAGATGAGAGACAAAACAGAAAGGATATTAAGGCATTTATTTTCATTATTAACCTTTAACACATAAATCTGACCCCATGATCTGGTGAACTGTAAAGTGCCTTGAGATTACAGGTGTTGTGAATTTTCGCTATAGAAATAAACTGAATTGAATTTAACAATCAGATTTTTTCCTGCCTCTGGTACAAACAGCCTTTTCTCTATAAAGATTAGGATTTTATTCCCTAAAAGTGAAATTAAATTGTGAAAGATATCATTTTTGATCAACTGAATAAATTTCTTTTGAAACCCAGCTTTTATTTGACAGTTATTGGTGTAATTAATTCTTTTTATTAAAGGTTCCCCTTATTACTTTGCTTGGGTTTGTGTTAATTTACAGCATTCAAAAGCAGTTTGATTCATGCAGTGCACAATATTGATATAAAAGCTTTTCAAAGCTTGAAATAAAATCAATAAAGAAATAAGAACATGACAGACTGTTAATCAATTGCACTCAAAACTAATTGCAGTTAATAGAGCTACCCACCGCCTTTCACCAGTGCTTTTAGTTCTAAAGTGTGATTAGCTCTGGCAGTTTGGGCTGTTGCTGAAAATCCCCCCAGGCTGAGCAGGCAGGGTGTTTAAAAGCTCTCTTATCCAATTCTTATCTAAATCTGGGTTCAATGACTCACAGCGAAGTGTGTCAGCGGTCACCGTGATAAGTGCAATCAGAATAGTGCTGGCAGTAAGAAAGGAGCGAGGAAAAGGAAGCAGGATTCATCCTATTTCCTATCAGTTAGTATTGAGACCTCCTATATGCTGCGTAGGAGCTTTACGGATGCCCACCATCCTTTGGGATGCATAGACACAGCCCACCTAAGCTCAGATTAATGCTTTATTTCTGTGGAAGAAATCCATGTTACCATTGAATTTAACACAAGATAGTGAGTGCTTAAGTTAGTGCTAAATACTACAAAAAACAAATTTATGACGTTTTCAAGGGCTCGTTCCCAATCCCCAGATAATATAACAATTAACACATTAAATGGAGACTTAACTGAAAATGTTTCTTCATATAAGTATTTAGGTTTTTGGCTGGACAACAAACTTTCTTTCAAATTTCATGTTGAAAAACTTGGGGTTTTATTTTAGAAATAAGACTTGTTTTAACATGTCAGCCAGAAAAACACTTGTGCAGGCTACTTTTTAAAGTGTTTTGGACTATGGTGATGTTGTCTACATGCATGCTGCCTCTAGTACTCTCCACCTGTTAGATTCTGTGTACCATAGTGCTCTGCTTTCTAACTAACTCCTATTCCCGTACTCATCATTGTACGCTGTATGAACTGGTAGGCTGGCCGTCACTAAGTCTACATAGATAACTTCATTTGTATATTTTTTTATACAAGGCCATGTTGGGTAAACTGCCGGCATATTTATGCAATCTCGTCAAGCTAAATTCCAGCCATTTTCATCTCGGTTCCACCAGGTGGCGCTCTTACCAGGTTCCAATGGTTTTTACTGAGCTGGGGAAGAAATCCTTCTCTTACTTTGCTCCATGGTCCTGGAATAATTTGCAAAACTTGCTCCATTTAAATGATCTAGTCCCATTGAATGAATTTATGGCCATGTTAAAATGTCATGTAATTCAAAAATGTAACTGCCCTATGTGACCTGTCTTTTCCTCTATGTGAGATTTTGTCTGTGCTTGTATTTTAACTGGTGTGCCGTCTTGGCCAGGTCTTCCTCAAAAAAGAGATTTCAATCTCAAGGGACTTCCTGGTTAAATAAACGTTAAATAAAATAAATAGTTGATTGCTCCTTAAAAGAAAGTTTATTGTCTCTTATCAAACCAATGCACTTGTAAGAATTCACCAAATCAACGTTTGCCCCATTTGCAGTTTTAATGGAGGTCGTTAGTTTGTTTGGACTACCTCATGCCACGGCACATAACTGTCAGCATCACTGATTATGGTTTTGAAAATGTTTCTGCTTCTTGCAGGGACTGTTTAATTTAATAGACAACCTTTGGATGTAGTTATTCTATCTATCTATCTATCTATCTATCTATCTATCTATCTATCTATCTATCTATCTATCTATCTATCTATCTATCTATCTATCTATCTATCTATCTATCTATCTATCTATCTATCTATCTATCTAGATTATTATTATATATTCAACTTTTGCGAAATAGAGTTAAACTTTCTTCTAACAGCAACAGGAAAGTTTTACCAGCATGAACCATGAGAACAGCAGGAGGGATTGCTAAAGGTTGCACAAGCTGAAGAAGAATAACATTTTCCACGACAGGAGCCCTAACAAGCAAATTGCAAGACTTACCTAGCTTCATCTGAATATTTCGACTGCTCAAAGGGCCCAAGTTTTACAGGTTGGACAAGACAACCAACAGGTTGGAGCTCACAGCTCAGCAAGCATTGAGGAATCTCAGCCAGCAGCACAAACAGAATGGGTTTAAAGAGTCACATCATCAAAACAATGCTTTGATTAAATGCTGTGGAAGAAATGGAAAGCCGAGCCATATAGCAGTAATGAGCAGTGACAGTGGTTCTTTTGAAATTATTCATTTTAATATTAATCATTTGAGATTATCCAGATGTGATAGTCATTTTTACCAGTGCCACTACTGGTACAAACAGAAGCCAACATTTACACATCAGCATGCATACCAAAATGTCTCTATTCTAATTGGCCATGGCCCTTAGATTCACTTTTGAATTCATTATTAAAAAACCTTTTGAGAATTTGAGAAACATTAAAGCAACTAAAATATTGCTTGAATGTAACATGTTTTGTGAAGCAAGAGCGAGAGCAACGCTATGAGTAAAAGGCTATTTTAATACATATTAAAGGAAAAGTTCGGTCATATTTAGAATTCAAACTTCTGAAAGTAATTTAAATATGAAATGATTCCATCCTGTTCAATAAATGATCAGTGTTTTTAATTCAGAGTAATTTTCATGTGAATGTGCTTTACTGGAGGCATCCATGTTTGTCAAAGAACACTACTGCCACCTACTGGTTAGTGACGTCACGGTGCGGTATCGGCTGTTGATCAAGTCCCAGTGCTGTATCTGGTGTTTGTCACAACGCGCTATTATCCAAGTCATTTTGAAAACATTCTTCTTCCAAATGTTGGCTACATATTACGGGTTTTTTCTCTGGCCAGAAGTTCGATGGCAAATCCTCCCTCTTCAAGTTGGCGATCCAACGACCAACCCGTCCGTGGAGGATCAGGAATCAGAAAGGTGGAATAACTCTTTTTTTTCCACTTTTCCCCGATGTATTCCAGCATCCAGCTGCCATGCACGTGGGCATTGTCAGTTTCACTATAGCTCTGGTGAATTTCAATGGTGAAGTCCTCTGGAAATCTTCAATAATTGTTGTTGATTGCAGATGTGTCTAGTAGTTCCCATTGATTTAGCTTGGAAAGCGGGGAGAATGGCGCTAGGCTTACCGCACCATGACGTCACTGCTGGAAGATGGCAGGAGGGAGGGGCTACTATATTTGGGCAAAAATGGCCGCTCCCAGACTTAATTTTTTTACTGATTAACACTAAATTCATTAAATTACTGTGAACGTATTAGTTTTAGGTATAATTAATGATCCATCGATTATTCTTGCTGACTAAACTTTTTCTTATAAAAGAGCTGCTGCTGATTCCTCAATATCTGAGTGTTAAGCTTTGTAGTAGCAGTAGTATTTGTTCCTTTTCTGATAATGTGTTGTTTTACTTTTGTGTCTGCCTCGTAACATCTTCTGCAAAAGATCAATTAGATCAAGATCATGGAGGACTTCAGGAAGAAGCGGCCTAACCACGCTCCACTGCTCATCAGCAGCTCAGCTGTAGAGGTGGTCAGCAGCACCACATTCATCACAGACACCCTCACCTGGACTGGAAACACCGCCTCACTGGTCCAAAGGGCCCAGAAGCGCTTGGACTTCCTGCCCCCCCCCATCCTCCCCACCTTCTCCAGAAGCACCATAGAGAGCGTTCTGAGCAGCTGTCTCACTGTGTGGTGTGGAGGCTGCAGCGCCTCAGACTGGAAGAAGGTGAGAACAGCAGAGAGGATCATGGGGGCTCCTCTTCCCTCCATTAAAGACATTTCATCCCAGCGCTGCGTGTCCCGAGCCCGTGACATCATCAATGACCCCCCACCCCCCCCACCATGGACTGTTCTCCCTGCTGCCCTCTGGGAAGAGGCTTCGAAGCATTCAATGCCGGTGGTCACTTTTTAATGACTTTATGATGTTACAACATTATTCTCATAATTTTATGCCTTTATTCTCGTAATATTATGACTTTATTCTCATAATATGACTTAATTCTCATAATATTACGACTTTATAATGTTACAACATTATTTTCATAGTTTTATGCCTTTATTCTCGTAATATTATGACTTTATTCTCATAATATGACTTAATTCTCATAATATTACGACTTTATAATGTTACAACATTATTCTCATAATTTTATGCCTTCATTCTCGTAATATTATGCCTTTATTCTCATAATATGACTTAATTTTCATAATATTATGACTTTATAATGTTACAACATTATTCTCATAATATTATGACTTTATTAAGGTCATTTAAAACAAATCCCATGCCTGGCTCTAATACTATTAGTCCTGAAGAATCTTATTTTGAGTCTGTATATTTTTTCCAAAGTTGTGTTTGTGGGATTCTGGTTGCTGCTGCCTCCATTCACAACTACTAGGGATGCATTCATATAATTAATAAAGTGTGTTTTTATCATCCGTTTCATCACCATCACGATAGTACCACAACATATTGTATATTTATGTATTTATTTTAATTTTTAACTTTGCTCGCATAATAAAAAGATAATAATGAGCGTAGCCAGAGGAACTGCAAAATCCTATTTGTTTCGAGGCACGTGAAGGCAGCTGTAGTCACGCGACGCGTTGTTTCTCTCCGACAGAACAAATATGGCGGATGATGGAGAGTCATTGGAGTCTTGGCTCAGTAAGTAGACAGTTCTTTAAAAACATTCTACGCTTTGTGTTCATGCTGCTTGTTGCTACGAATGTGCTTTTTGTCCACATCTATCAGAATAACCAGCTGGACTGGCGTGACATGACGGTAGCTAAATATTAGCATGCTAAATGCTCTGTGTTGTCAGGAGAAGCTAGCTAAGCTAACTAGCAAATGATGAGTGTCACAAGCTAATTTCTCGTCTGTTCTTTGTCTGGGTAGAGATAGCAGGGTTACTGGGTGGACTAGAAAGGATTGGAGATGTTGCTTTATGACTGATTTTTAATATTAATAAGACAAGGTTCTGATATTTTTACTAATTGATCAGGAAAATAATGGAAATCTGGAGTCATATCCTTTGCTGAAATGGGCTGAATCCTGTTTTCAATGGTTTCCTCTACTTAAGGGAGTAACTTTGTGATGAAAGTTGGTGGGGACACTCTAAGGGTGGAGGCTGATGGACCTACAGTAACTCCAACCAAACGCTTTCATTAGGTTTTTTCTATTTTCTTAAAAATGAGCTCAAACATATATTTACTGAATGTTTTTCTATTGTTGTATATATAAATAGGGCCCAAAAACATGACTGTATTAAAAAATAACCAATAACAGCCGATTCTGATGCCAAAATCGATATATCATGCATCCCTAGAAGTACAATTTCAATTCCATCCATCCAGAAAAACATGGATATGCTGCATTTTAAATATAGCATAGCAGATTTATTTTCTTGCAAACTGTGTGGAAAACTCGGAGAGATATTTTATTTAATGTTACATATCTCAGTAAGTCTGTTTCACCTTTAAATCTGCAGCTCTACCTGCTTCTCGCTGTTTAAAAGGATTTATGAACCTCTTTTTTTGTGAACAACTTTTTTATTATTTTAAAGAGAAACAGGTACATTAGTCCGATAAAGGTAAAAGGGGTATATTACAACCTGATCCAACAGAAAGGAACACAGAAACAAAACAACAAAAAACAGGACCTAAGAGACCATATTCCAACATCATATGTAAACAAAAATGGTGATTACAGGAATTCCTGGATCTTATCTGCCATTGTTTGCCATGCTTGAATAGTATTAGCTCCAGCACCGTGCATTCTTGCCACTGAAAGTTCCATATTTATTATGTCAATGTACGTGTTAATCCATTGGGGCTTGGTAACTGTATGTGGAGGTTTCCAGCGTAAAGCCAACATCTTTTTGGCAGCAGTGATGCCGGTTAGGAGAATACATTTTTTCCAGCATGTCAATTTTAATGAGGTGGTATCATTCAGGAGTAACACAACTGGAGAACATGGTACATCAACCTCCAGCACATTAGATAAAGTAGAGCAAACCTCACCCCAGAAAAACCTCACATCCATGCATTCCCAGTACATATGTAAATAGGATCCTATAAATCCAGATTTATGAATGTCTTTAGTAATATAATGATGCCAGAAACTAAATTTCAAGCTATGTAGAAGCTCTGCAGTCTGATTCTGTCTGTTCAATAAGAAAACATTTTAACCTGTAACTGGGAGTCATGGTCCTCTGAGAAGCCAAGCATTTTTAACTAGTAAAGAAGAACAAACTTTGTTTTCTCAAGCTTCTTGTGTTTTAATATTAACTAGACTGTTGCTATTTTTAGCTGCAACATCTCCTTATGTCTAACAAGATTTTTCACTGGCATCTCAAATTATTTTAACTAACTTTTACTTCAATATCAAAGTAGCTCCTGGTTAATATTCAGTGAGTGCTGCTGTGTGTCTCTCCTCCAACCACGTAGCCACTCTGTACGCAGTGAAATGCGAACAAATCCGATGTCTCAAAGCGACAGATCTGATGATGTTACGCCGAGAGGCGGGAAACTGGAGCAACGCGAGAGAGGGGCAAAAAAACACAGACTGAAAACGCTTCTAACACAGTTAGCTGCACCCAACTACTGTTACCTTTGGCTAAAGTAAATGAGCGGAAAGGGGGGGGGGGGAGTGGAGTCCTTCACAAAGTCACGCCTGTGCCTCTACTAGGTGATTCAATTCTCCCATTTGGAAACCTACAGAAACTCACCAAGAAGCAAACGCATCAGCTTTAAAGGATTAAGCTTTTTTTTATTTTATAAAAAATCTGAAAATATTCCAAGTTGAAGTTACACGTGTAAACAGTCTTTAATGAGTTAAGAATTAAAACAGATATTTTAATGGAGCTTTACTAGGGTATGAATACATGTGTTATCTCCCCTACTTGTCATTCAAAATGCTTTTAAGCAATATTAAAGAATAACTTTTGAAAGGTGAATGAAAAATAAAGCTATTTTGTTTCCGATCATTAGAACCAAACAAGTCAAAGAAAGATCATTAAATGATATCTGTCTGTATTTTTATAGACATTTCTAAGCTGCACATTGTTTGACCTCTTCTACTGTAAGCACCACAATCTCCCCATTGTGGGACAATAAATGGATTTTCTTTTCTATTTTATATAAAATACAGTGCTTTACAAAAATGTTTTCCTCTTTAGAGAATAGTTCTGTTTTCTAAATGTTTCCGCACAGCAGTTGAAGTTTAATCAATCATTTAAAGGTAACCTGAGTAAATAAGAAAGTCATTTTCAAATTCATGTCTGATTAATTAGAGGTAAATTGATTGAACAAGAGAAGCGTGTAACCTTTTAGATCAGTGATTCATGTGTGAAATGGAAACCGGATATTTAAGTTTAGATTGTCTCTTTCTGTTGACGAAATGGGAAAAGCATAGAAATCTTTTTCATTTTACTGTAAATGGCCGAGGCACTTTTCAAATTGAACCAGTGAAAAAAATATTATAGGATTGCTATGGTAAACAATAATGTTGGTTTGGTTCTCCTGGAGATTTTTTCAGATTTAGGATTCACATTGACAGCTTTTTGCTGTCTCTGCGGTTCTTAGCTTTCATTAAATCTGTATCCTGTGACCAAAAAACAATGAACTGTCTCTGCAGCATTAAATTGGAGGAATTTCTAAACCCGCCCACCGTGGACTCACTTATTAACTGCAGTCATGTGTTGACACAGAAACACAAAAGGATGTGGCAGATTACTAATCTTCAAACATGCTTACAGTTCAGCCAGGGTGAATCTGCTGATTGGAAATGCACCGTAGATACATCAGCGTACGTACACCTAGTAAATAGGTTTTTTTTCTTCCTATGTTCTTGTAGCGACATAGGAATGTGAAGCGCAAATTTAGTTTTTCTTTTTTTTTATTTGTTAAGCAAACCTGAAACTAAACAACAGAAAGCACTGCTTTGTTTTTGATGGATAAATTCTTTGACTGGTTAACAATAATCAGCTATGAAGCCGAGATAATATATTTAGAATATTCAGAGAGGTCACTGGAAGTTATCGGGAGATTATTGACCTTTGTGATTGTAGTGCTAGCTTAGCCCCTAGCCCGTAGCACATTGTTTCCAAGTCTGCACATGATGAATAATTGCAGGCTCCAAAATAGGGCTACAACTAACCACTATTTTGCAAATCCATTAATCTGTCAATTATTTTTTCGATTAATTGACTAATAATCAGATAGCCAAAGATTCCCTTAAAGAATATTTTTTATGAATATAAACCAGATGAAACTAAAACTTTTCCATTTGAGGAATTCTGGATAGAGCAGATGACACAGGTTCCTCTGTCAGCTAAAGGCGTGTTTTACAGTCTCTATACTCAAGTTAACGATTAATCGATTACTAAATTAGTTGATGATTGTTTCAATAATCGATGAACCACAATTGTTTCAGCCTAGGGGTAGGCGATTGATTGAATATACTCAATGTATCTCCAGGTTTCCCACGTACGATAGTTAAAATGACTCTTTCGCAGCCATAGAGTAAAAATTCGCATGGCGACATTAAGACGTCTGCATCTATTTCACTGAGAGTTTTATTTTTCCCACACACACACACACACCCACAAGTATCATAAACCCCTCCTCCAAACAGGATTATTTTCTGCATGGCACACACACTACAGCAACCGGTAAACGAAATATGGCGACAGCAGGTTTTTCAGCTGAGCTGAGCAATATACGGCAGTGGTTTGAATTTTATGCCAAGGACGCTGAACAAAAGGAGCTAATTTGTAAATCAAAAAACCATTGCTGCAAAAGGTAGCAATACTAAATTTTTTCCTCTACCTAAAAAGTAATCCGCTGCAAAATGAGGACTGTGGTAAACCCTGAATGTCAGCGTCTCCCCACTCACCAATTATAATGTTCAATAAATGGAGTTGGCCTCGTGGTTTGAAAAAGCGATCTCATATGAGAGAAACAGGAAGAGATGGAGGGAAATCAGACACTATTTATTACGTTACTCAAATGTTTTTTAGATGCTCTAATAGATGTGATGTTTAGAGGTTTTGCTGTTCTCTAAACTTTGCAAAGTTCTCAAACTTTTTGTGCTTCTTTTAAATCCCCACCACATAACGATCAGTGCTAATAGTTTGGAGACGCTCTGATAATGCTGTAACTTTTGGACAGCATTTCCACTTTTAATTCTGTAATTTTAGGTCAATTTCTTTTTTCATTATGCACAAAAGAGCCCTTTTTTAATTTTGCATTTTATTTAGTATTGCGCGTTTTTGCTTTGTTTCCTGTTTGGTTGCTGGGATCTTGTTAAAGTCATAGGGAAATCATATTTAAAGGTCAAATAATTCTGGCTTAAACATGTATACAAATGTACCCAAAAGTTCGAAAATTTATATTTTACAAAAAAATCATGTCTAAATCCTGTCGGCCAATCATATATCGACGGTCATCTGTCAATCAAATGTTTTCGGTCATAGCATCTTGATTCATATGTCGCAGCTAATATACGCAGCGGTTGAAATCAGAATCCTTTACTTTCCGATTGAGTTGCGTCCCAGTGTTCACGGGGATGGACGTCTGTGTCTTCGGCAGGCGTAGAGCTAACAGAACTGGCAGCGTTGCGAGGCAAGGGCTCAAACATGTACGGCTGGAAGCCTTCTACACCAAACCAAGCTTCTGCCGCCCTGGCGTCCTCTTCCACAACATCTTCGTCCCCGCTTTCCTCCTCTAAATAAAAAATGGATGACGGAGGAGACTCATCCACGACCTCCGACACTAAACTCTCCTCCTCTTGCATGTTTCCGCTGTCCATAGCGTTCCTTGACAGCGTCGTTTCTAAGTCACCAATTTAGTGCTACTTGGTCCCAATGGAATTTCCCATTGGGAACCTGCTAGCACTAAGTAGCTAACTGGTTAGCAAGATGCTTCCCACAAACCGGCTACAACCAAACCTGCTTTCGAACCTTCGGCCACAACAATCCCGCCCCCTTGATAATCAACCAATCACATTCACTTTATTCACTCTTGTAAAGTCGGGCACCACTCGGGAGAATTTGAAATTCAATGGTAGGAACTGCCGCTTCACTACGACTTTAAAGTTTTATTTTAAGGGACAAAAAAGGTCTTAAATTTAACTTACCTTATGTTGTAGGAACCCCCTTTCAGAGACATAGACAGGTATGGGGCATTACAGGCTAACAAAGAAGCCAAACGACCCCCATTCCAAAGGGGGGGACCCGTTCATCCGTTTCTATTTGCATGTTTTCTAAACTAAAACCAGGCTTTGTTGGGCTGCTGGATAAAACCTGGAACTAAACGCTATTTCTGACATTTTGAATTAAAAAAAGCTTCCTGGATGGAAGAGAAACGTCTTCAAACTTGGAAAGAAAGTCCAGTGGATTGTTTTGGAATGACTATGACCTGGATAAGTTGCTAACTGGTTAGCTAGATGCTTCCGACAAACCGGCCACAACCAAACTTGCTTTCGAACCTTCGGCCACAACAATCCTGCCCCCTTGATAATCGACCAATCACATTAACTTTATTCACTCGTGTAAAGTCGGGCACCACTCGGGAGAGTTCAGAAATGCAGCTGTTGGAACAGCCGCTTCCGTACGACTTTAAAGGTCTAATTCTGACACCCAAAGACATCAAGTGACAGAATTATTTGTGGAAAGCTTTAAGGTGATAAAATAAAATTTGAAACAAAAAGTAAGAGTATATCAGCACAATTTTATGCTCTATTGTTTTGAAGGTAATTTAAACATATCGCGATATATATCATGTAGCGCGATATAGCCCAAATATATCGTGATATTAGATTTTCTTCATATCGCCCAACTCTAATTCAGGACTACCTCAAAGTCACCCGGACGTAAAACATCTGGTTCTGTGTTAAATGTGAACGCCAACGGGGGGAAATGGGATTCACCTTATATGTTCTCTTTTTCAGACAAAGCCACCAATCCCTCCAACAGACAGGAAGACTGGGAGTACATCATGGGTTTCTGTGATCAAATTAATAAAGAGCTTGAAGGGTACGGTCACATTCCTTTAATAAGCTTAATCTGTAGCTATAACGTTCAGTCGCGCGCATTGAATGGAGTTATAAGCTGCCTTGTTGCTGTGAGCACGCACCCCTTTGCATGAGCTTTTAAAATGGAAATTCCTTTTGCTTTCTTACATTCTGTGATATTTTCCAGCCATCAAATATCCGTCAGGCTGCTGGCGCACAAGATTCAGTCCCCTCAGGAGTGGGAGGCATTGCAAGGATTAACGGTGGGCAGCTTTATTTCTTTAGTGTGTTTTGTTGTTTTTCTGTCCCAGCGTGAAGCTAATGGTGCTTTCTGTTCTTCTGTAGGTTCTTGAGGCGTGTATGAAAAACTGTGGCCGACGGTTTCACAATGAAGTTGGAAAATTTAAGTTTTTAAACGAGTTGATAAAAGTGGTCTCACCTAAAGTAAGTAAAATGTTTTTTTGTCTTATAATTTTTAGACCGTTAAGTGTCTTTGGTTGAACGATGAACAACCTGAAAGGTTCAGATCCTCAGTAATCATGGCGGCGTTCTGTCAGACCAGCATACCAGCTTAGTTCTTTAGTTTATCCCCGTTTATCTCTGTAGTTTATCCCTGTTTATCTCTGTAGTTTATCCCTGTTTATCTCTGTAGTTTATCCCCGTTTATCTCTTTAGTTTATCCCTGTTTATCTCTTTAGTTTATCCCCGTTTATCTCTGTAGTTTATCCCTGTTTATCTCTGTAGTTTATCCCTGTAGTTTATCCCCGTTTATCTCTGTAGTTTATCCCCGTTATCTATATAGTTTATCCCAGTTTATCTCTACAGTTTGTCCCCATTTATCTCTGTAGTTTGTCCCCGTTTATCTATATAGTTTATCCCCTTTTATCTCTTTAGTTTATCCCTGTTTATCTTTTCAGTTTATCCCCGTTTATCTCTTCAGTTTATCCCCGCTTATCTCTGTAGTTTATCCCCGCTTATCTCTGTAGTTTATCCCCGTTTATCTTTTCAGTTTATCCCCGTTTATCTCTATAGTTTATCCCCGCTTATCTCTGTAGTTTATCCCCGCTTATCTCTGTAGTTTATCCCCGCTTATCTCTGTAGTTTATCCCCGCTTATCTCTGTAGTTTATCCCCGTTTATCTTTTCAGTTTATCCCCGTTTATCTCTATAGTTTATCCCTGCTTAGTTCTGTAGTTTATCCCCGTTTATCTTTTCAGTTTATCCCCGTTTATCTCTATAGCTTATCCCCGCTTATCTCTGTAGTTTATCCGCGTTTATCTTTTCAGTTTATCCCCGTTTATCTCTATAGTTTATCCCTGCATATCTCTATAGTTTATCCCTGCTTAGTTCTGTAGTTTATCCCCGTTTATCTCTATAGTTTATCCCTGCTTATCTCTGTAGTTTATCCCCGTTTATATTTTCAGTTTATCCCCATTTATCTCTATAGTTTATCCCTGCTTAGTTCTGTAGTTTATCCCTGTTTATCTTTTTAGTTTATCCATGTTTATCTCTTCAGTTTATCCCTGTTTATCTCTACAGTTTGTCCCCATTTATCTCTGTAGTTTGTCCCCGTTTATCTCTACAGTTTGTCCCCTTTTATCTCTTACGTTTATCCTCGTTTATCTCTTTAGTTTATCCCCGTTTATCTTTTCAGTTTATCCCCGTTTATCTTTTCAGTTTATCCCCGTTTATCTTTTCAGTTTATCCCCGTTTATCTCTTCAGTTTATCCCCGTTTATCTTTTCAGTTTATCCCCGTTTATCTCTATAGTTTATCCCTGCTTATCTCTGTAGTTTATCCCCGTTTATCTTTTCAGTTTATCCCCATTTATCTCTATAGTTTATCCCCGCTTATCTCTGTAGTTTATCCCCGCTTATCTCTGTAGTTTATCCCCGCTTATCTCTGTAGTTTATCCCCGCTTATCTCTGTAGTTTATCCCCGCTTATCTCTGTAGTTTATCCCCGTTTATCTTTTCAGTTTATCCCCGCTTATCTCTGTAGTTTATCCCCGTTTATCTTTTCAGTTTATCCCCGTTTATCTCTATAGTTTATCCCTGCTTAGTTCTGTAGTTTATCCCCGTTTATCTTTTCAGTTTATCCCCGTTTATCTCTATAGTTTATCCCCGCTTATCTCTGTAGTTTATCCCCGTTTATCTCTTCAGTTTATCCCCGTTTATCTCTATAGTTTATCCCCGCTTATCTCTGTAGTTTATCCCCGTTTATCTTTTCAGTTTATCCCCGTTTATCTCTATAGTTTATCCCTGCATATCTCTATAGTTTATCACTGCTTAGTTCTGTAGTTTATCCCTGTTTATCTCTGTAGTTTATCCCCGTTTATCTTTTCAGTTTATCCCCGTTTATCTCTTCAGTTTATCCCCGTTTATCTTTTCAGTTTATCCCCGTTTATCTCTATAGTTTATCCCTGCTTATCTCTGTAGTTTATCCCCGTTTATCTTTTCAGTTTATCCCCATTTATCTCTATAGTTTATCCCTGCTTAGTTCTGTAGTTTATCCCTGTTTATCTCTTTAGTTTATCCATGTTTATCTCTTCAGTTTATCCCTGTTTATCTCTACAGTTTGTCCCCATTTATCTCTTACGTTTATCCTCGTTTATCTCTATAGTTTATCCCCGCTTATCTCTGTAGTTTATCCCCGCTTATCTCTGTAGTTTATCCCCGTTTATCTTTTCAGTTTATCCCCGTTTATCTCTATAGTTTATCCCTGCTTAGTTCTGTAGTTTATCCCCGTTTATCTTTTCAGTTTATCCCCGTTTATCTCTATAGCTTATCCCCGCTTATCTCTGTAGTTTATCCGCGTTTATCTTTTCAGTTTATCCCCGTTTATCTCTATAGTTTATCCCTGCATATCTCTATAGTTTATCCCTGCTTAGTTCTGTAGTTTATCCCCGTTTATCTCTATAGTTTATCCCTGCTTATCTCTGTAGTTTATCCCCGTTTATATTTTCAGTTTATCCCCATTTATCTCTATAGTTTATCCCTGCTTAGTTCTGTAGTTTATCCCTGTTTATCTTTTTAGTTTATCCATGTTTATCTCTTCAGTTTATCCCTGTTTATCTCTACAGTTTGTCCCCATTTATCTCTGTAGTTTGTCCCCGTTTATCTCTACAGTTTGTCCCCTTTTATCTCTTACGTTTATCCTCGTTTATCTCTTTAGTTTATCCCCGTTTATCTCTATAGTTTATCCCTGCTTAGTTCTGTAGTTTATCCCCGTTTATCTTTTCAGTTTATCCCCGTTTATCTCTATAGTTTATCCCCGCTTATCTCTGTAGTTTATCCCCGTTTATCTCTTCAGTTTATCCCCGTTTATCTCTATAGTTTATCCCCGCTTATCTCTGTAGTTTATCCCCGTTTATCTTTTCAGTTTATCCCCGTTTATCTCTATAGTTTATCCCTGCATATCTCTATAGTTTATCCCTGCTTAGTTCTGTAGTTTATCCCTGTTTATCTCTGTAGTTTATCCCCGTTTATCTTTTCAGTTTATCCCCGTTTATCTCTTCAGTTTATCCCCGTTTATCTTTTCAGTTTATCCCCGTTTATCTCTATAGTTTATCCCTGCTTATCTCTGTAGTTTATCCCCGTTTATCTTTTCAGTTTATCCCCATTTATCTCTATAGTTTATCCCTGCTTAGTTCTGTAGTTTATCCCTGTTTATCTCTTTAGTTTATCCATGTTTATCTCTTCAGTTTATCCCTGTTTATCTCTACAGTTTGTCCCCATTTATCTCTTACGTTTATCCTCGTTTATCTCTATAGTTTATCCCCGCTTATCTCTGTAGTTTATCCCCGCTTATCTCTGTAGTTTATCCCCGTTTATCTCTATAGTTTATCCCTGCTTAGTTCTGTAGTTTATCCCCGTTTATCTTTTCAGTTTATCCCCGTTTATCTCTATAGCTTATCCCCGCTTATCTCTGTAGTTTATCCGCGTTTATCTTTTCAGTTTATCCCCGTTTATCTCTATAGTTTATCCCTGCATATCTCTATAGTTTATCCCTGCTTAGTTCTGTAGTTTATCCCCGTTTATCTCTATAGTTTATCCCTGCTTATCTCTGTAGTTTATCCCCGTTTATATTTTCAGTTTATCCCCATTTATCTCTATAGTTTATCCCTGCTTAGTTCTGTAGTTTATCCCTGTTTATCTTTTTAGTTTATCCATGTTTATCTCTTCAGTTTATCCCTGTTTATCTCTACAGTTTGTCCCCATTTATCTCTGTAGTTTGTCCCCGTTTATCTCTACAGTTTGTCCCCTTTTATCTCTTACGTTTATCCTCGTTTATCTCTTTAGTTTATCCCCGTTTATCTTTTCAGTTTATCCCCGTTTATCTTTTCAGTTTATCCCCGTTTATCTTTTCAGTTTATCCCCGTTTATCTCTTCAGTTTATCCCCGTTTATCTTTTCAGTTTATCCCAGTTTATCTCTATAGTTTATCCCTGCTTATCTCTGTAGTTTATCCCCGTTTATCTTTTCAGTTTATCCCCATTTATCTCTATAGTTTATCCCCGCTTATCTCTGTAGTTTATCCCCGCTTATCTCTGTAGTTTATCCCCGCTTATCTCTGTAGTTTATCCCCGCTTATCTCTGTAGTTTATCCCCGTTTATCTTTTCAGTTTATCCCCGCTTATCTCTGTAGTTTATCCCCGCTTATCTCTGTAGTTTATCCCCGTTTATCTTTTCAGTTTATCCCCGTTTATCTCTATAGTTTATCCCTGCTTAGTTCTGTAGTTTATCCCCGTTTATCTTTTCAGTTTATCCCCGTTTATCTCTATAGTTTATCCCCGCTTATCTCTGTAGTTTATCCCCGTTTATCTCTTCAGTTTATCCCCGTTTATCTCTATAGTTTATCCCCGCTTATCTCTGTAGTTTATCCCCGTTTATCTCTATAGTTTATCCCTGCATATCTCTATAGTTTATCCCTGCTTAGTTCTGTAGTTTATCCCTGTTTATCTCTGTAGTTTATCCCCGTTTATCTTTTCAGTTTATCCCCGTTTATCTCTTCAGTTTATCCCCGTTTATCTTTTCAGTTTATCCCCGTTTATCTCTATAGTTTATCCCTGCTTATCTCTGTAGTTTATCCCCGTTTATCTTTTCAGTTTATCCCCATTTATCTCTATAGTTTATCCCTGCTTAGTTCTGTAGTTTATCCCTGTTTATCTCTTTAGTTTATCTCTTCAGTTTATCCCTGTTTATCTCTACAGTTTGTCCCCATTTATCTCTTACGTTTATCCTCGTTTATCTCTATAGTTTATCCCTGTTTATCTCTTTAGTTTATCCCCGTTTATCTTTTCAGTTTATCCCCGTTTATCTCTTCAGTTTATCCCCGTTTATCTTTTCAGTTTATCCCCGTTTATCTCTATAGTTTATCCCTGCTTATCTCTGTAGTTTATCCCCGTTTATCTTTTCAGTTTATCCCCATTTATCTCTATAGTTTATCCCTGCTTAGTTCTGTAGTTTATCCCTGTTTATCTCTTTAGTTTATCCATAATGAATTTTATTTATCATGCACTTTACATTTGATTTCAAATCTCAAAGTGCTACAAAACAAGTTTAAAAGACCATAACATTAAAAACAGAGTAAAAAGACAGTCATTAAAATCAATACATTAAAAGGCATACGTAGCCTATTAAAAAAAATCTAAAATCAACAATTGTAGGAATTTCTAAAAAGGAAAGTTTTTAGTCCTTTCTTAAAACAATCCACCGTCTGTGGGGCCCTAAGGTGGTCTGGGAGGGCATTCCACAGACGGGGAGCTGCGGCTTCGAAGGCCCTGTCGCCCATTGTTTTTAGCCGTGTCCTGGGTGGGGCCAGACGGTGCTGTTGGCCTGATATTTATATTTATATTTATCCATGTTTATCTGTTCATTAATATTTATCCATGTTTATCTGTTCAGTTTATCCCTGTTTATCTCTACAGTTTGTCCCCATTTATCTCTGTAGTTTGTCCCTGTTTATCTCTACAGTTTGTCCCCTTTTATCTCTTACGTTTATCCCCGTTTATCTCTTACGTTTATCCTCGTTTATCTCTTACGTTTATCCCTGTTAATCCCTTTATTTTATCCCCGTTTATTTCTTTAGTTTAGTTTTTGTATGAAAAATAAACTTTAAACTATCTTAACGGGCGTGTATCCCTTTAGTCATGCACAAAAAAAAAAATATATCTATTTAGTTCCTGGTGTTTTTTGAAGCGTTATGGCGATCTGACATTAAATTGTTTTTTGTTTGTTTTTTCGTACATGACTAAAGGGATACACGCCCGTCTAGGTAGTTTAAAGTTAATTTTTCTCACAGAACTAAAGGGATAAACGCAAATCTGACATATTGCTCATCGACTTATAGTCGATACGCATGCGCAGGCTGGTCTGATAGAACAGCAGGAATCCAGTCCGGAACCTTCTTGCTTCAAGGCAGCGGTGCTTCCCACTGTGAAACTGAGCAGCCTCTTTTTTTTTTCTAAATGAAATACAAATTTTAGATGACAGAAAAAAAAGTTGTGCAGCTATGAATATTATATGCAACGATGTTTGCTGTTACCTTAAATTGACTCATAACTGTTTTCAGTACCTAGGAGACAGAGTGTCTGATAAAGTGAAGACGAAGGTCATAGAAATGCTGTATACTTGGACCGTGTCTCTCCCCGATGAAGCAAAGATCTGCGAGGCATATCAGATGCTCAAATCTCAGGGTAAATTAGTTTCACTCCAATAAAAAACAGCAGAATGGTTAAAGAAATATTTCTATGCAAGTTATTTTGTGTCCTTTCCTTTTATTTTAGGTATTGTTGTCGTCGACCCAGAAGTCCCCCTGGACGCCACGCTGATCCCCTCACCGTCTCCACGACCCAAAAATCCTGTGTTTGACGATGAGAAAAGGAGCAAGGTCAGTGAAAGCATCATGTTCTGGTTCTTTCTAAGATACAGGTTCTGGTTTTCATCCAGAAGCAGTGGATTTTTTTCTCACCTCAGCAGAGGAGATCCTGATCAACAGGCCTGTCTGCCCCACATGGCAGCTGGAAGCCAGAGCTCCTCATCCTCTTGCTGTAACTGAATCCATCTGTCCTTTAGAGGAAGCTAATATTAGGGTTGCAACTAACAATTATTTTGCAAATTGGTTAATTGATTTAATCGATAATAATCGGATAGCCAAAGGTTCCTTAAATGGGTGATAGAATGATTCTATAGGGTATCTGGTCCTTCAGGTCTCTAATAGGGTGATAGAATGATTCTATAGGGTATCTGGTCCTCCAGGTCTCTAATAGGGTGATAGAATGATTCTATAGGGTATCTGGTCCTTCAGGTCTCTAATAGGGTGATAGAATGATTCTATAGGGTATCTGGTCCTTCAGGTCTCTAATAGGGTGATAGAATGATTCTATAGGGTATCTGGTCCTTCAGGTCTCTAATAGGGTGATAGAATGATTCTATAGGGTGTCTGGTCCTTCAGGTCTCTAATAGGGTGATAGAATTATTCTATAGGGTATCTGGTCCTTCAGGTCTCTAATAGGGTGGTAGAATGATTCTCTAGGGTATCTGGTCCTTCAGGTCTCTAATAGGGTGGTAGAATGATTCTCTAGGGTATCTGGTCCTTCAGGTCTCTAATAGGGTGATAGAATTATTCTACAGGGTATCTGGTCCTCCAGGTCTCTAATAGGGTGATAGAATGATTCTCTAGGGTATCTGGTCCTTCAGGTCTCTAATAGGGTGATAGAATGATTCTATAGGGTATCTGGTCCTTCAGGTCTCTAATAGGGTGATAGAATGATTCTATAGGGTATCTGGTCCTCCAGGTCTCTAATAGGGTGATAGAATGATTCTATAGGGTATCTGGTCCTCCAGGTCTCTAATAGGGTGATAGAGTGATTCTATAGGGTATCTGGTCCTTCAGGTCTCTAATAGGGTGATAGAATGATTCTATAGGGTATCTGGTCCTTCAGGTCTCTAATAGGGTGTGTAACATTGGTTGGGCTGAAAATGGCATATTAGCTGTTCTATGAGCCCTAATGCAGCCTGGTTAAAAGCCCTAGAATGAAACCACAGGTTTTCTTTCTTTTATGGTATGATCATGAATATTTAGATGAGCTGTGCTCTGATTGGTTGCTTTACAACGAGCAAAGCTGCTGAGCAAAGACGCATCATAGCAACAAGCACCTTATGATGGATTAATTGTTCAGGATCTATCTTCGTTCACAAGATTTTTATCGTCCAGATTCAACAACAGAAGGGGAACTTTCTTCTGCCATTTTGTTGTTGTACTTCTTGGAAATAATTGTAGTTTTTCTAGCCTCTGTGTTTACTTTGAAGTAATGCAAACCTCCTGATCTTGACTTTGGCTTCTGAAGCCTGGTGGTTCTGCTTTTCGCTTTGGCTGGACGGATCCTCTTCTCTCAGCTCCTTTGAGGACCCTTTCAATTTATTTTCCTAGTTTTTGGGTTTCTTTTTTGCTACCTGCCTGACAGCAGGTCCTGTCTGTGCTGAGCAGAGCTGTTTAATTATTACAATGTGCGTGGCCAGACAAATGAGACCTTATGACGCCTACAGCTGTTAGCTGGCTTTACCGCTAATTTAATACTACGGACGCCCAAAATTCACCTGTAAAATATTCATTGTCAAATGTAACTCACTCAACTCACTTTATTTTTAGTAAATTATCCAACATCACAACAGTAAACGAAACAACAATAATCAAACAAACCCAACATTTACCAAAGATAGATGGATATATGGAGCAGAACGTTGGAGATTGAACTGACAGATTCAGCAGAGTGGGAGAATAGAGATAGAATGAAGCAGAATGATGAAAAAGGGGTCCCTATGTCCTCCAGCAGTCTAAGCCAATAGCAGCAGAACTATAGAGATAGCTCAGGATAACCTGAACTATAAGCTTTATCAAAAAAAAAAAAAAAAAGTATCTTTGCCGAATGGCTGGTTATAAATGTTGTGCTTCTAGAGCTCACTGAGGGATGGCGGGGGGGACTCCATTTGTAAGGTACATGCAAGTGATCAAAAACGGTAACTTGCACTATAAGGGGTTAATGTAAAGTAACAGAAAGGAATAGGCTAAAGCAAAGCTTATTCTTGCCTACCCTGTGTTATACTTAAAACCGTACCAGGTTCTTCACAGTATGTATATAAATATTCAGATCTATATAACAACATCGGAGTTTATCATTTTACATTTTAAAGCTCTTTTAAAATTCACCAAGAAAGGACATAACTTAAACTCATCATTCAATTCATTCCACGGTTTCACACCAATAGCTGAAACACAACTAGCCTTTATCTGGCTCTTCTCTTTTGCACATTCAAATATAAACAAACCTCGCCAATTGTATTTATTCTCTCTTAATTCAGTTTAATTTAGTTCTATAGCACCAATTCTTAACACATCTCATCTCAAGGCACTTTCCAGTTCAACCAGATCATCCAGTCAGATTGATTCAAAGTTTTTAATCTAAGGAAAACCAGTTGATTGCATTTCCTCATTGACTCAAAACTAAGCATGCCTGTAGCGACAGTGGAGAGGAAAAACTCCCTTTTAGTTTGAGCGGCCATCTGCTGAGGCTGACTGGGGTTCAAGGAGAAAGAAGCAGAGATGCAAAAGGCAACTGTAACAAGCAGAATGATGAAAAAGGGGTCCCTATGTCCTCCAGCAGTCTAAGCCTATAGCAGCAGAACTATAGAGATAGATCAGGATAACCTGAGCCACTCTAACTAGAAGCTTTATCAAAAAGGAAAGTTTTAAGCCTAGCCTTAAAAGTAGACAGGGTGTCTGCCTCACGGACTAAAACTGGTAGTTGGTTCCACCTCCAGGAGAACCAACTTTAGTGTGAGCGGCCATCTGCTGAGGCCGACTGGGGTTCAAGGAGACAGAAGCAGAGATACAATAAGGCAGCTGTCAACCAGCTCCACAGAAATGCTTCTATGCGTCACTTTGTTAGTTTTGTATGTAATAGAAGCGAGTCTAAAGATTAAAGAGAATATATTTAAGGACATTCATGGGCAGGTTTTGTTTTATTTCTTAACACTTTTTAGAATCTCTGGAATCTAAAAGATGAGTCTTAAAGTAAAGGAACAGAAGAAAAAAGCATCTCTTCAAATTTTTTCTTCTTTTGAGAAAATTCCTGTCGGCTCAATTAGTTTGCCTCACATTTTGGAAAATATTTGAAGGTTTTTTTAGTTAAAACTTTCCATCCATCCATTTTCTGTCACGCTGATCCCAGGCGGTGTGGCGGGGGGTGCTCTTTCTCCAGCTGAGAGGTGGGGTCCATCCTGGACAGGTCTCCAGTCCATTGCAGAGCAACAAAGAGACAAACAACTTTTCATGCACACACTCACACCTAAGGAGAATTTTTTTTTTTGGACTGTGGGAGGAAGCCGAAGTACCTGGAGAGAACCAACGCATGCACAGGGAGAACATGCAAACTCAATGCAGAAAGACCCGGCACCGGGAATCGAACCCGGAACCTTCTTGCCACAAGGCAGCAGTGCTACACACTGCGACACTGAGCAGCCCACTTTATACCATTGGTCGAAGTGCGGAGTAAAATAAGTCACTGTACAATACTAGTCTGGCATAATATTATCGTTAGACTGCTAAATTTTATGTAAAATGGGTTATAAAAAAAAAGAAAAAACCTGAATTGTTGGAACTGTAACTATACAGTCATTTGTTTACGTCGCTTTCTTTCATCAAAATGTTTTTATCACTGCTGCTCACCTGCACTTAAAAAATGAAATAGTCTACAGAGCTTTACTTAACAAAATTTCTTTTTGTTTCAACTTGTGTACAAAGTGACAAAAAAAAATCTAAGTCTAATAATATCAATACTAAATACTAGTGTTGTTTGCATATTTGATTATTGTTAATTGTAGATTTCTAGATCATTTGTAATTTAAAAGAATAAAGGGCTGGTTATCCTCCAGCAGCAGTGTGTCGCAGTTAGCTTGTTGCAGGTATGACGCAGATATTTTAGATTTATGCCCAATTTTGAGTCGTGGTCACAACGAAAGAGAGACAATCAGGAACTAGCTAGGATTGTGGGCGTCTGTGTGTCGGTTTGATGAGCTTGTTCGCTGTCTACAACCCCTTATCCAATGCCGGACGACACACAGTTCACCCGTGAATGTTCCCCAAAGACCGGCCGTGGCGCTGCGTGTTTTGTTTTCAGGTGAAAAGCAACAGACCGTCGCACAGAGCTACAAAATGGCATCCTGCACGGTGTCTGGGATAGTAGTAGTCAAGGTGTGCAAGGCGTTGTGGACGGCGCTACAGTCAGAGTTTCTGACATTAGGTACCAAACAGGAAATACGCATAGCGTAGAGCGGATGTAGAACTGACCAATCAGAGGCCTCCTTTCACTCTTCCCTGGGGCACTATCTGTGGTCACCTACAATTTTTGGGGAGGTGCACCAGATTACAGTGGCGTTGGATATAGGAGTTTGCCCTGAAATCGAAGGATTGACGGTTCAAGCCCCGGCTCTGACTTTCATTGTCACCTGCATTGTCTACTGATGGTGGTCAGAGGGCCCGGTGGCGCCAGTGTGCGGCAGCCCCGCTTCTGTCAGTGAGCCCCAGGGCAGCTGTGGCTACAGTGTAGCTTGCCACCATCAGTGTGTGAATGGGTGAATGAATGTAGTGTAAAGTGCTTTGGTCAAGTCTCCTGACTTGAATAAAGGAGCTATATACAGGGTTCCCGCGGGTCCTTAAAAAGTCTTAAAAGGCATTGAATTCTTCAGAATAAAACAAAGGCCTTAATTGGTATTAAAATGTCTTAAATCCGTCTTTCGCAGGTCTTAATTTTTTAAAACATCATAAATAGGATTATTTTTATTTCGATTTTTTTTGTAATCTAAGTAAAACATTAAAATTGAAAACATTTTTTTTTTTTATTTAGAAAAAAAAAATAACGCTCGCCATTATTGGTTCCGTCCCGATAGCGGAACCAATAAAGCGTTGTTGCGGCCGGGACATTTGGGAGATGCACCATTAACTTTTTGTCTGGAAAATATGAGCAAGTGTAAATGTAACCAAAATTGTCTCCAGCCAAGAGTTTTCTCCATGGCTAAAACCAGGGAACATACATGAGGCTCAGCTGATTTATGCAAGAAGTCATTCCAGCTCAGAACGATGGGAATTAAGGCAGTGGAGTCGCACATGCGAAGCGCGAAACACAAAGCGTCAAAATGGAGTTACAGAGAAACAGCCGGTATTTCTCAGTTTAGTTCCACCCTTGTCTCTGCAACGCCTCCACTTATCACCAAATCAAACATACTAAGAAAACCATACAAAGAAAAATAGCTGCAAAAAAGACTTAGCACTGGTTATGTTGGGGCTTTAAAACTGATTTGTTTTGTTCCCTGCTAAAACAAAGTTTGTGAATTCAGTTAAATAATTGTTAAATTATATCTGTCATTTGTGTGTTTTTAGCTTTCTTCCTGTATGGGAAGCTTTTCAACATTTGAAACATTAGTGCAGTGGTTTATGTTAAAATAAACCTTTGGGTTAAGTTGTCGCAAGAAGGTTTTTCTTGTGAATTTTGTCTTAAATTTTTATTTCAAGTGGCATTAAAAAGTCTTGAATTTAACTTGCCTTATGCTGTAGGAACCCTGTATATAAGTACATGCCATTTACCATTTATTTTACATTTATGTCATGGTAATAAACAAGCATGTCTTTATGCCTTTAATTATTTTCAATTTTCTTTTGACTGGGGTATCAAACAACTTCACCATCAACATGAACGAGACGGACGTTGTTTATATTGTGCTGACAGCATATGATCTAGAATTTTCTTTTTTTTAATGTGGAAGATTATCACATTTGCATGTGAAAAACTGAATGAGTCTAATTGAAGGTTTTTCTTAATGGGTCTGCAGAGATTAGCTGAACTCCTGAAAAGCAAAAGGCCAGAAGATCTTCAAGAGGCGAATCGGCTCATCAAAAATATGGTGAAGGAGGTGCGTAATGAGGTGTCTTTGTTCGGAAGCATTTTAGTGCATGCTGATAAAGATGTGCTGTTTGGACGGATTAATGAGTTCATTTATCAGAAATGTGTCCCTTTTGTTTATCGCAGGATGAGGTGAGATCTCAGAAAGCAGCAAAACAAAGAAGCACGCTGGAGGCCGTCAACAACAGTGTGAAACTCCTCAATGAGATGCTGGCTCACTTCAGCCCTGAAGACTCCACCGAAGCGGATAAAGAGCTTATTAAGGTTTCCTCTTTGTGATACGAGCCGACAACCCTTAGAAATATTAGAATTTCCTACCTTTTGCAACATGCTGGTGAATATTCTGTCATCCAGGTCATAGTCATTCCAAAAAAAGTAAAAAAAAAAACAACCTACTGGACTTTGTTTCCAAGTTTGAAGACGTTTAGCTTCCCATCCTTTTGAATGGGGGTCGTTTGACTTCTTTTGTTAGCCTGTAATGACCCATTCCTGTCTAAAAGCTTCCTGGATGGGACGCGAAACGTCTTCAAACTTGTCTATGTCTCTGAAAGGGAATTGTTGGTCTGGCTGAATAGACGGGGTCTTCTGTTCCCCTGTAAAGGGGTTGGGGTTGCGATAATAGCGGGAAGGAATCAACTCAATTGATGCATTGTAGGTTTTTGAAAGCTGGAAGAGTCCCCCCCATCTGTTTAAGGTTGGTTTTTCTTTCTTAGCATAGATGGCTTCCGTCACGCCCCTCTCAAACCACCTATCTGCTTTGTCCAAAACGTGAACATTCTTTTCCTCAAAAGAATGTCCTCTGCCCATAAGGTGAAGGCCAGGCCAATAATTCCCTCTAACGACCCCCTTTCAGAGACATAGACGGGTATGGGGCATTGCAGGCTAACAAAGAAGCCAAACGACCCCCATTCCAAAGGGGGGGGACCCGTTCATCCGTTTCTATTTGCATGTTTTCTAAACTAAAACCAGGCTTTGTTGGGCTGCTGGATAAAACCTGGAACTAAACGCTATTTCTGACATTTTGGATTGAAAAAGCTTCCTGGATGGAAGAGAAACATCTTTAAACTTGGAAACAAGGTCCAGTGTTTCTTGGAACTCACCTTTGGCAGTATTTATTGTGCGGAAGTACTGCTGTATCTGTCAAAGAGTCGCTAACATGCAAACGCCGACCTGAGTCATAACTTCTTTATAAGTCATTCCACGTATCAAAAATGTTTTCAGAGAAATCCTGTTTTATGTAGTAAAAATAAAAAAAAATGTAATTACTGAACAGAATGAAAGGTTGGGTTAATTAAAGATCTTTTTCTGTTTTCCTACACTAAACACAGACTCATAATTTAAATCTTGACATTTTTAACGTCTCCCTGTTTTTCTAGGAATTGTACAGCGACTGTGATAAGCTCAGACAAACGGTATTTAAACTGGCCACCGAGACGGAGGATAATGACAGCAACTTGGGTATCATTTCATGCTCTTCTTACCTTTGCTGTCAGAGCAGAACATTTTACTAAAAGTCGTTTTCTTTTCCTAATCTTTCATAATATGGACTCTTGTTTCTTTGATGTTTTTAATACACACACCAGGAGAGATCCTGCAGGCCAACGATGACCTCTCCACCGCAATGAACTCCTATAAGAAGATTGTTGAAGGCCAGACCGTCAGCGGAGACCCTGAAGTCGCACAAGGTAAAGTCTGGATTACCGTGATGTGATGCTCCGATCAGAAACATCCCGAATATCCTGCTCAGAGTTACGGTTAGATCTCACATCCGTCTGTCCGATGGATCCATTGGAAGGGTGCGGCCAGCCACCCTGCGAAGGAAACTCATTTCGGCCACTTTTATTCGCGATCTTGTCCTTTTGGTCGTTACCCAGATCTCATGATCAAAGCTGGGAACGTGGATCGAACGGTAAATCAAGAGCTTCGCTCCCCGACTCAGCTCCCTCTTCACCACGACAGTCCGATACACGCTCCAGCCGTCCCTCACTAGTGAACAAGACCCCGAGATACTTGAACTCCTCCACTTCAGACAAGGACTCTCCACTGACCTGAAGAGGAGAGTCCACCTTAGAGAACCAGGGGCGTAGCCAGAAATTTTTTATAAGGGTGGCCAGGCAATAACCAATGTAGACTGAGGGGTGGCAGAAAGCGGATAGGCGCCAACAACCCTAGGGTCAAGCCTAATATGAGAATAACTATACTTTCCTACAGCCTTTGCTAACTAATAGACGCATATATTTAAACATCCGTGCTTTCTGGATAAAAGGTATGGTGGATACTTTCAGAGACACATTATTTTCTCTTTACTCCATAAAACAAAAAAATTTAGTTCTAAAAAGAGCATGAATTCTGTGTTTATCATCTTTAATGTTAGTGTGAGACACTGATGATGTGTATTCACATTATTGTTTGTTGGATTTTAAGAGAGAGACTGATTTTGGGTAATAATTTGTTTGACTTGTAGTTGCACACACACACCAGAAGGTGGCACATTGCTCCATGAGACGCCAGAGTGAGGCCATAGGCTCTGCTTCTTCAATGCGGCAGAAGCGAGACATGGGCCAAATGTCAATATGCGTTCTTGAGCGTTCTCGTGTACTCGTGACACGTCATCAGCCTCAGCCCGAGTACCGTTCCAATTCTCGAGAACGCCAGATCGAGAACGCATCAAATCCCCGGATGTTGTTCTCGTCCCGCCCTCTTTATCGAGCATGCATCAGAGCAGACTTGTGCGTTCTTCAGACTGACCGCTTCCCCAGAATGCCCCACGGCCGCAGCTTGATTCCAGACAGCGCTCACAGTGGTAAGTTAAACATTCCCTTTTCTGCTGCTGTTGTTCTTCAAAAGTACGTTTTGAAATCGTTTGAGGCGATAACATTATACATTGAAGCCTCCCTGTGTGGCCTGTTTACAGAGTTAGTGCGAAAAAAAAAAAAAAAGTCCGACGTTGAGCGGACCAGAGTGACCAGCAGACCTCCGAGGGTAACCGCAGCCACGGCTAAATTTACCCCGTCTGTAGTGCACTTCTCTCGGTCTAGTTATGTGTGAACTACCGCTCGTTCTGATGGCGGTTTTTTGCTTTAATTCGGCCAAACGTCGAATTTTTTAAAATGTTTTTTAAGCTTTAGAAATTAAAAATATTGTTTTCAAAATGTTTTGTGTAGGGAATAAATAGTTTTGAGTGTTAAAGAAATGCTAATCAACGTTGCATGTGATGACGTCACGAGTACGCTTCTGTTCCAATACACATACTTGCGTGCTCGCGTTCTCGTGAAGTCCGATCTTCCTGCGTTCTCGCCAAGAACGGACTTGACGAGAACGCGAGTACGTACTCGCGTTCTCGTGAATTGAGAAACGGCCCTGGAGAAACTTCACCCGTCGCTTGTCTCATTTATTCTCCTGTTTTACAGAAACATTTATTCTGCCCAACGAGTCTGTTACAGTAGTAGTATATTGATGTGTGTAATTAACCACAGTATTTGTGTTGTCAAGAAATTAGGAATACATGAAAAAATAGTAATATATGAAAAATGAAAATGAGACTATTACTGCTGCCAAAATCTGTATTAGAGGGAAAAAATGGTAGGGGTGGCCAAAGGGGTGGCCAGTGATTGGCTAAGGGTGGCCACCCATCTAGCTCCGCCCCTGTTGAGAACCATGGAGGTGCTGATCCTGCTGAAACATCACAGCATTATTCACATTTAACAGCAGAAAAACAAGACATGGCTCCTTTAGAGAAGGTTGGCTTCATCATGGTGACAGAAGCACAAGCACTTTTTTTTTTTTTTTTTACCCCGTAACCTTTGGATAAAAGAGTTTAGGCTGATAATTCTGCTAATTAATTTTATCCTTCTTTTATTAGTCCTTTTAACAGTTCTGTCTGTTTAAAGCTTTTTTGTTTTCTCTGTGTTGATCAGTGCAACCTTGAATCTAGGACTATGCAAAGAGAGATTTCTTTTTTCATTATTTTCTCTCTACTTCCTTCCTTTTTGTTTTTTATTTTTTTACCTAAACCTGGATGATCATGCTCTGCAGAAATTAAATATGTAAAAAATGTCTTGAATCAATTTGAGCAGGTAAATATGATACTTTGCCAATGGAATTAGTCATTTTAATAAGTTAACTGGATAATGTACACTGGAATAAGACAATGCAAATGTTTTTTTTCTCATTTTAAATGTAGATTGTCTTGTTTCATTGGTGTCTGTGTCTCATTGACCTCAATATAAGAAAACAAATCACTTATTTTAAGAAAAAAAAATACTTATTTAGCTTTAAAAGTTTTGCAGTGTACTGGAGGTGTGTAAATATTTGTAGGTCCTAGCAAGATCCTTAAAAAGAAACTAGTGCATCCTAAAGACAAAACCCCCTGACCAAATATGAGCGGAGTGTAGTGAGGAATGCTCTGCACTGTAAAAACGATCTTGAAATAAGTTAAACTTTCTTAAATTAAGTGTATTCCACCTTAATTTCAGTAGGTAAATGAGATGTTTTGTCAATGAAATTAGTATTTTTACTCTTAAATCCAAAGAGAGATTTCTTTTTTCTCCTTATTTTCGCTCTACTTCCTTCCTTTTTGTTTTTTGTTTTTTTGCCTAAACCTGGGTGATCTTGCACTACATAAGTAAAAAATGTCTTAAATCAATTTGAGCAGGTAAATATGATACTTTGCCAATGGAATTAGTCATTTTAATAAGTTAACTGGATAATGTACACTGGAATAAGACAATGCAAATGTTTTTTTTCTCATTTTAAATGTAGATTGTCTTGTTTCATTGGTGTCTGTGTCTCATTGACCTCAATATAAGAAAACAAAATCACTTATTTTAAGAAAAAAAAATACTTATTTAGCTTTAAAAGTTTTGCAGTGTACTGGAGGTGTGTAAATATTTGTAGGTCCTAGCAAGATCCTTAAAAAGAAACTAGTGCATCCTAAAGACAAAACCCCCTGACCAAATATGAGCGGAGTGTAGTGAGGAATGCTCTGCACTGTAAAAACGATCTTGAAATAAGTTAAACTTTCTTAAATTAAGTGTATTCCACCTTAATTTCAGTAGGTAAATGAGATGTTTTGTCAATGAAATTAGTATTTTTACTCTTAAATGCAAAGAGAGATTTCTTTTTTCTCCTTATTTTCGCTCTACTTCCTTCCTTTTTGTTTGTTTTTTTTGCCTAAACCTGGGTGATCTTGCACTACATAAGTAAAAAATGTCTTAAATCAATTTGAGCAGGTAAATATGATACTTTGCCAATGGAATTAGTCATTTCAATAAGTTAACTGGATAATGTACACTGGAATAAGACAATTCAAATGTTTTTTTTCTCATTTTAAATGTAGATTGTCTTGTTTCATTGGTGTCTGTGTCTCATTGACCTCAATATAAGAAAACAAAATCACTTATTTTAAGAAAAAAAAATACTTATTTAGCTTTAAAAGTTTTGCAGTGTACTGGAGGTGTGTAAATATTTGTAGGTCCTAGCAAGATCCTTAAAAAGAAACTAGTGCATCCTAAAGACAAAACCCCCTGACCAAATATGAGCGGAGTGTAGTGAGGAATGCTCTGCACTGTAAAAACGATCTTGAAATAAGTTAAACTTTCTTAAATTAAGTGTATTCCACCTTAATTTCAGTAGGTAAATGAGATGTTTTGTCAATGAAATTAGTATTTTTACTCTTAAATGCAAAGAGAGATTTCTTTTTTCTCCTTATTTTCGCTCTACTTCCTTCCTTTTTGTTTGTTTTTTTTGCCTAAACCTGGGTGATCTTGCACTACATAAGTAAAAAATGTCTTAAATCAATTTGAGCAGGTAAATATGATACTTTGCCAATGGAATTAGTCATTTTAATAAGTTAACTGGATAATGTACACTGGAATAAGACAATTCAAATGTTTTTTTTCTCATTTTAAATGTAGATTGTCTTGTTTCATTGGTGTCTGTGTCTCATTGACCTCAATATAAGAAAACAAAATCACTTATTTTAAGAAAAAAAAATACTTATTTAGCTTTAAAAGTTTTGCAGTGTACTGGAGGTGTGTAAATATTTGTAGGTCCTAGCAAGATCCTTAAAAAGAAACTAGTGCATCCTAAAGACAAAACCCCCTGACCAAATATGAGCGGAGTGTAGTGAGGAATGCTCTGCACTGTAAAAACGATCTTGAAATAAGTTAAACTTTCTTAAATTAAGTGTATTCCACCTTAATTTCAGTAGGTAAATGAGATGTTTTGTCAATGAAATTAGTATTTTTACTCTTAAATGCAAAGAGAGATTTCTTTTTTCTCCTTATTTTCGCTCTACTTCCTTCCTTTTTGTTTGTTTTTTTTGCCTAAACCTGGGTGATCTTGCACTACATAAGTAAAAAATGTCTTAAATCAATTTGAGCAGGTAAATATGATACTTTGCCAATGGAATTAGTCATTTCAATAAGTTAACTGGATAATGTACACTGGAATAAGACAATTCAAATGTTTTTTTTCTCATTTTAAATGTAGATTGTCTTGTTTCATTGGTGTCTGTGTCTCATTGACCTCAATATAAGAAAACAAAATCACTTATTTTAAGAAAAAAAAATACTTATTTAGCTTTAAAAGTTTTGCAGTGTACTGGAGGTGTGTAAATATTTGTAGGTCCTAGCAAGATCCTTAAAAAGAAACTAGTGCATCCTAAAGACAAAACCCCCTGACCAAATATGAGCGGAGTGTAGTGAGGAATGCTCTGCACTGTAAAAACGATCTTGAAATAAGTTAAACTTTCTTAAATTAAGTGTATTCCACCTTAATTTCAGTAGGTAAATGAGATGTTTTGTCAATGAAATTAGTATTTTTACTCTTAAATGCAAAGAGAGATTTCTTTTTTCTCCTTATTTTCGCTCTACTTCCTTCCTTTTTGTTTGTTTTTTTTGCCTAAACCTGGGTGATCTTGCACTACATAAGTAAAAAATGTCTTAAATCAATTTGAGCAGGTAAATATGATACTTTGCCAATGGAATTAGTCATTTCAATAAGTTAACTGGATAATGTACACTGGAATAAGACAATTCAAATGTTTTTTTTCTCATTTTAAATGTAGATTGTCTTGTTTCATTGGTGTCTGTGTCTCACTGACCTCAATTCAAGAAAACAAAATCACTTATTTTAAGAAAAAAAAAGTACTTATTTAGCTTTAAAAGTTTTGCAGTGTACTGGAGGTGTGTAAATATTTGTAGGTCCTAGCAAGACCCTTATAAACAGGGTTCGTACAGGTGCTGGAAATCCTTGAAAAATGCTTGCATTTTGACGTTGTGTTTTCAAGGTTACTTGAAATTGTAACTATTTCTTTCGCAACAAATCTCTATCTAACTGAATCGAGTGTTTATTAAATGGAGAAATAAAATGTTGGAGAGCCCGAAAATGAAACCTGCTCGCTTATGTGTGACTGCGATCTGGCAGTCTATTTCCATGTGTGACTCCGCCCCCATGAAATCACTGCTGCACCATGCCGGGAGGTTGTCGTTTCAATGAACGTTGACTGGAAGATGGAAAATACAAATTATGGATTAAACGGGGACAAACCCCACGAGTTGCCTCTTGTAAAGTCTGCAAAAAAAGATGTGCAGCTTTTCACAACTGGTTCCGGTCGACAACTCAGCGCCTCGCCATGTAAGGTGCTGGAAAAAGTTTTGAAATGGATCTTGAAAGTGCTTGATTTGGACTTTGGAAAAGGTGTACGAACCCTGTAAAAAGAAACTAGTGCATCCTAAAGACAAAACCCCCAGACCAAATATGAGCGGAGGAAGTGTATGCTATCTAATTATCTTATTTTAAGAGTAAAAATACTCATCCTATTGGCAAACTATCTCTTTACCTACTCAAATTAAGGATAAATACACTCAATTTAATGATTTTTTACTTATTTCTAGATAGTTTTGCCAGTGATTGGTTGTACTTATTTTGCTCAGGCTACTCGTAAGTCCACAGCCCGCCAAATGTTGAAAGGGCAATATAATTCTATACCACAGTAATGGCATGTTAATATATAGTAGAGATTTTACACATTCAGTATAAAATGTCACAGGGGACGGTATGAAGGGATTGTCATTTAAGAAGAGGGATAATTTGTAAGATTTCTTTTTAAAAGTGGGATGCCATCCCTCCTCAACTCGAGTTCTGACAACCCCTCTTTCAGAAACGTAGACAGGTATGGGGCATTGCAGGCTAACAAAGAAGCCAAACGACCCCATTCCAAAGGGGGGGACCCGTTTATCCGTTTCTATTTGCATGTTTTCTAAACTAAAACCAGGCTTTGTTGGGCTGCTGGATAAAACCTGGAACTAAACGCTATTTCTGACATTTTAAAGTAAAAAAGCTTCCTGGATGGAAGAGAAATGTCTTCAAAGTTGGAAACAAAGTCCAGTGGATTGATTTTTATCTTTTTTGGAATTCCCTAAAGAAGGACTGATTTTGGAGAGGGATGAAATTTTAACGTGGAAATGTTGAGTAATTAAGAGTTTAGCCCCGTTAGTCTGACACCCCTACATATAGTCCAGTCTTATACTTTCTGTATTTGTCTACGGTGCGGGTATGTGAAGATTGCTCACATTAAAGGCTCAATAGAAATGCATCATTATAAGATGTTAAGATGCTCTAATGGTGGGAAAAGTTTCCAAGCAGGCTCTGTGCGCTTATTTAAATATTTTTTTCTTTTCAATTTAAACTTCTGCTTTTTCTCTCAATCAGGCTCTGGAAGCACAAACGATTCAGAGATTCTCATCGACCTGGTGGGTCTTGACAGGAAGACTCCCTCTCAGCCTGAGCCTGAACCTCAAGCCTCTTCTCTGGGTTTTTCGGGCAATTTGCTTTGCGAAACGGCGCCCGCCGAGCTTCGTTCTAAGAGTGCCGCTCCGCCTTCTGCAGCCCTCTCCCTGCTGGATGAAGAGCTGCTATCTTTAGGTACCTTCTACATTCAAATGCTTGCATCCTCTTTTCTTTTTTTCAGGGGTCTATGAGGGTCTTTTTATTGAGAAAAATTAAACTTGTGTAAATTCCCAGGCCTGAATGATCCTGGTCCTGTAGTTAATGAATCAAGCACCTCCAATCAGAGCAATCATTTACCACCTCAACAGGTATTTAAATTGAGACTAAGACCTTCAGACTGTCTCACGTTCTTCTCTGCTGAAAATAACAGTGACATTAACGTTTCCTTTTATTTTTAGGAGTCCAGTCAACCTTTGGACCTTTTTGACTCCAGTTTGCCCGCCTTTAATGCACTGTCGACACCTTCGCTCTTTCAACCAGCCCTCTCTGCGACGCTGACCTCAGTGACTCCCACCAGAGTGGCTGCCGCTTCCTCTGCCTCAAACTTCCCCAGCGCTGCCTTTTCAACACTCTCCGCTGGTGCAGCTTCAGATTTTCCAGCATCGGCTTCGTTCCCACAGCCGCCGGGCTCGGCTCTGAGCGGCGCGGCGCCTGCAGGTCCTTCGCCGTCACGCTGCATGACCGCGCCGGCTCTCTCCACCGGCCTTCAGCACGTCTTCCAGCCTGGTCCATCATCTCTCAGTAACAATTTACAAGACCTGGCCATGCTGGATCTGGGTAGTAATGATATGTGAGTAGAACTCAGTTCAAATATCACACCTATAAATGATGTGCCAGCTCTATCCTTGGCTCAGCTCAGCAAATGGTCCTCACCTGTCATTCATCTGTGTTTTGCTCTGAGGATTAAGCGTAGAAAATGGATATTGGCACTGGAAATTCTTTTTAGGGGTTTAACTGTGACCGTGTTTCTCGTAAAGCCCCGTCAGAACTTACGATAAAAATCTGAAAAAAAATGCTGGCATACGTTGGATTAGTTATGGGTAGGGGTGTAAATAATAATCGTTTTGTATCGATGCATCGATCCAAAAGCCGACGATCCGATGCATCGACACGTCCGCAACAGAATCTATTTATGTTTTTTTTTTCCTCCGGCCTATTTTTATCTATTTGCTCCTGGGCGTAATCCTCCCTCCCGTGCTGCGGTGGCGCTAAACCTACTTTGCCCTCCTACCTCGCTTCCTGGTTATACTCTTACAGCAGTGTGTTGCAGTGAGCTTGATGCAGACATTTTTAAATTATGCTCAATATTGAAGCATGGTCTGTGCTACACGCTGTGGGTCTAGATACGGCCGAGGCGGAGAGGAAGTGGGGGCGAGTTTAGTCCGACGACGGAGCGACATGAGGGCCAAAAAGAGCGGAGATCCAGGTGGAAAAAGGGTCCCAGCGTTCTCGCGCACCTCGCTCTTCTAGCGGGTCAAACTTCACGAGTTGTTTTCCGCAATTTGGGTCATAAAAACAAAACAAGCCGGCACTCATTGCACTGATTTTCTGCACTATTTTTTGATGCAACTTTTCTACTTCTGTTATTTGCTGTTGTTTCTAAAAAAAAATGCACAACGATATTACAGCTTTCATTGATTTATATCAAACTTGAAATTTTGTTTAGACTGTAAGGTGTAAAAAAAATAAAAAAATAACAACCGATGAATCGAATCGAATGATTTCGTAGTGTATTCTTGAGTATCGAAAATATTAGGGATGCACGATATTGGGATTTTGGCCGATATCCGATATGCCGATATTTTAAAACTCATGTAGCCGATAACCGATATCTATACCGATGTTAAAGCTGGACAAAAATAAGTAGTCATTGAAAATAGCAGTTTTGTTATCCATTTCTGACACTTTGAAAAATAATAAACTCAAATATATTTTCATATGCTGATATCAAATCGATTTGTAAAAACGCGGTATCGATCTATTTTACTTTCAAAATCTCGTGAAATTTCATCGTTCTGTTACAAACTCTCGTGATATTTTGCTAATTCTTGTGAGATTTTGTTAGTAAAATAGATCGATACCGCCTCAATATATCGACATATAAAAATATGGCAACATTTGGTGAATTTTCGGGGGATTTCGTAGCATAACGATGACATATAGCAATATTTCATTAGTAAAAGAGATTGATATGGTGTTTTTAAATGGCAATATATCAGCATATGAAGATATTGGGATATTTTAATGTATCAATATTTTTTCCCTCGTCTTTAGAAGTTTTTAAGTCTGTAAAAAATAAGTTTTTGAGGAAGAAGAAGAAGTAGTATTTTTTTTTTTTTTTTTGACTTTAGAAACTCAGAAGCTGATCAAATATCGGGTTAAATATCGGTGGGGCGGCCGATGTCCGATATTCAGTTTTAAGGCCGATACCGATAGGGGTCGTGCATCCCTAGAAAATATCGCTATGATGGATGTAATTTACACCCCTAGTTATGGGTACGTTTTGTATAAGTTATGAGCACGCTAAAGCATGCTGGCTAACGTTGATAGAGTTGGTCCCGGCGATGCCAGTGGATGCAATACGTGGGGCATAAGTTACAGGTAAGTATCTGATGGTTGACTGACGTTAAGTTACTCATAAGTCGTGGCGTCTAGCTTATCTTAAACCTATGAGTAAAGCCTGGTTTATGCTCAGAAACCAGGTCCTCTGCGTGTGACAATCTGGTGAACCTCCCCAAAAGTTTGGGTGACCATAGACAGTGCCACGGACAGGAGGCCTCTGATTGGTCAGTTCTACATCCGCTCTACGCTATGCGTATTTCCTGTTTGGTACCTAAAGGCAGAAACTCTGGCTGTAGTGCCGTCCATAACGCCTGGCACACCTCAGACACTATCCCAGACACCGTGCAGGACGCTAGTTTGTAGCTCCGTGCGACGGTCTGTTGGTTTGCACCTGAAGCTAAAACACGAAGCGCCACGGCCAGTCTTTGGGGAACACTCACGGGTGAACTGTGTGTCGTCCGGCGTTGGATGAGGGGCTGTAGACGGCGAACAAACTCATCAAACTGACACACGGATGCCCACAATCCTAGCTAGTTCCTGTTGTCCCTGGATAGATCTTAAAATTGTCTCCCTGAAAAAAAAAAAACAGCAGTAATCATGCTACAATGTAAAATACAAATATAAAAAAAAATAAAAACAGCTATAACTTCTCACAACTGATTTAAAAATACAGAATAAGTGTTCATAAACTTTAAATTTCAGCTTCAGGTTTTCTGTCACAGAATAAGAGCGAGTTTGAATGTCATTGCCGTCATCTTTTATGGCCTCCAAACGGTGAGCATTAATAAGACCTTTCTGGTTAATTCTTTGACAGTAAGAATAAAATAGCAAAGTAGTGAAAGGATTATTCGACTACAACCTTCAGGCTGATTTTTATACTTTAGAGCAGATTTAATACATTTTAGAACACAGAATAAATTAAAAAAGGATTCTTTTTTTCTTTCTTTGCAAAAATCCTCAAAGATGACTCCATCTTTTCAAAAAAAGGTGATATCTTATTTCCTCCCAGTCACAGTGGCAGCTCCACTTCAGCGATGGCGGCCGAGATGCCAGGATGGTCGACTCCTCCGACTCTCCGGAGCCTCTCTGACAACAGCCCCCTGCTCCGCTCCATGTCTCCCATTCAGCCCCTGAGCCAGACCAGTCCAAGCAAAGGAGACGAGGCGTCCCTGGCTGCTGTTTTCGTCCCGCTGGAGGCCATTAAACCAAGTGAGTTTAGGAAAAGATCTTAATGACATCTGCCGGGTTTGTTCTAGTACTTTCTTACCTTTTTATTACTCATGTTTTCATGAACAAAGAGAGGCTCCTTAATAAATGCTCTCAGCTAAACATCCGTAAAAGTAAAAAAAAAACAATCCACTGGACTTGGTTTCGCTTCCCCTCCAGGAAGCTTTCTCAATTCAAATTTCTGGATCCGCAGTGAGTTTGAGGCTTTATATAGACAAGACCTTGTATCTCTTGGAAACATGTAAATTGAAACCGATGAGTGGGTCGTTTGGTTCCATGGTTAGCCTGTAATACCTGGAACCTGTGTATGATTGTGAAGGTCGATCGTTAAAGGCGGGATTGTTCACCTGGCTGAAGAGAGGAGGTACTTTGTTCCTCTGTGAGAGGGTGGGGGCTGTGGTGATACCTGGAAGGAGTCAACTTAATAACTGAATTATTATTATTTATTCCTTTATTTAACCAGGAAAAGTCCCATTGAGATTAACAATCTCTTTTTCAAGGGAGTCCTGGCCCAGACAGCAGCAAAAGATTACATTACAAATTACATTACAGTTTACAATCACATCTATCTATAATTAGAAATTCATAAAACAGTTGAGCAATTGTTTACAATGTCCGATCGGAATCAAATCCTTCAACTTCCAGTCTTTCTGAAGATTGTTCCATGCTGTGGGGGCAGAGTACTGAAAAGCTGTCTTTCCAGCTTCAGTGCGGACACTAGGTACAGACAGAAGCAAAGACTTGAGAACGTAGAGAATACGGTCCAGCCGCTCTTGGTTGAATGTACTCTCAGAGGTATGAGGGGAGCAGACGCAGAATACCCTTATAAATGATCATATACCAGTGAGTGAGTCTACGAGTCTCTAATGCTGGCCAGTCCACACGCAGAGATGGGAAGTAACGAAGTATAAATACTTCGTTACTGTACTCAAGTAGATTTTTCTGATATTTTTACTTTACTATACTACTTATTTTTATGGCGACTTTTTACTTCTACTCCTTACATTTTTACACAAATATCTGTACTTTCTACTCCTTACATTTAAAAATTGTCTCGTTACTTTAGTTTTGAATCATTTCAATGGAGTTACCGTTATTATTTTTCACGTCATCAATACCAAATTCAATCTAATTGGATGGGAATCTACGTTGCATTTGACGCACCGCTACAAGATGAATCGACAGATTCGGCGGTATTCATTGGCGGCAAATCATTGCAGCTTGGTGGCGGTGGCGTTAGCATAGTAGCATGGACGACGAGATGATTGAAAATGAACACAACGGAGATCTAGTCCTATTGGCAGACATCCATTTAAAATGTAGGCAACGGCATGAAAAAAGTGGTTTCTACTTTTACTTTTATATTTTAAGTAAATTTACAAGCCTGTACTTTGTTACTTTTAATTGAGTAAAGAAGTTTAATCAGTACTTCCACTTTTACCAGAGTATTTTTTAACACAAGTATCTGTACTTTTACTCAAGTACGGAAAGTGAGTAATTCAATTCAATTCAATTCAGTTTATTTATATAGCGCCAAATTCACAACACATGTCATCTCAAGGCACTTTACAGTTCAACCAGATCATACAGTCAAATTGATACAAAGTTTTCTATCTAAGGAAAACCAGTTGATTGCATTGACTCATTGACTCAAATACAATCCCCCACACTAAGCATGCTTGTAGCGACAGTGGAGAGGAAAAACTCCCTTTTAACAGGAAGAAACCTCCAGCAGAACCAGGCTCAGTGTGAGCGGCCATCTGCCGAGGCCGACTGGGGTTCAAGGAGACAGAAGCAGAGATACAAAAAGCAGCTGTAAAAGGCGGCCCCGTCCAGGAAACACACAGCCAGGCAGACGAGCTCCAAGGCAGCTCCCATGCCAGAGGATGAAGAGAGCACATCCACTCAGTCACGGTCAGAGAAACAGGACCACACTGGAAAACCGGCCGATCTCCAACATCTATAAACAAGGGTGTTGATAGAAGCAGCACAGCTGTTTCTTTCCAGGATGACGTCACAGCCAAACAGGAACAGACGAGGCAAAGCTACTCTGAGGAAAAGCAGAGAGAGCAGAAGGTTAGAGATTGAACTAACAGATTCTGCAGAATAGGAGAACAGAGAGAGAATGAAGCAGAATGATGAAATGGGGGTCCCTATGTCCTCCAAAAGTCTAAGCCTATAGCAGCATAACTATAGAGATAGCTCAGGATAACCTGAGCCACCCTAACTATAAGCTTTATCAAAAAGGAAAGTTTGAAGCCTAGCCTTAAAAGTAGACAGGGTGTCTGCCTCACGGACTAAAACTGGTAGTTGGTTCCACAGGAGAGGAGCCTGATAACTAAAAGATCTGCCTCCCATTCTACTTTTAGAAATTCTAGGAACGATTAGTAAACCTGCAGATTGAGAGCGAAGTGCTCTGTTAGGAACATAAGGAACAATCAGATCTCTGATATAAGATGGAGCTTGGCCATTTAAGGCTTTATATGTGAGAAGGAGGATTTTAAATTCTATTCTTGATTTAACAGGAAGCCAATGAAGAGAAGCCAGGATAGGCGAGATATGATCTCTCTTTTTAATTTTCATTAGAACTCTGGCTGCAGCATTTTGGATCAGCTGAAGGCTTTTAACTACAGTTTGTGGACTTCCTGATAGTAAAGAATTACAATAGTCCAGCCTTGAAGTAACAAATGCATGGACTAGTTTCTCAGCATCACCCCTGGACAGGATATTGCTCATTTTTGCAATATTCCTCAGATGAAAGAAGGAAATTCTAGAAACCTCTTTGATCTGGGATTTAAATGACAGGTCCTGATCAAAAATAACACCAAGATTTTTTACTTTATTATCTGAAATCAGTTTAATCCCATCCAAATGAAGTGACTGGCTAATCAGTTTCTTTTTCAGAGACTCTGGTCCAAAGACTATAACTTCTGTTTTGTCTGCATTCAGGAGCAGAAAGTTAAGAGTCATCCAGGTTTTTATGTCTTCAAGACATGCCTGTAATCTATGTAATGGGTTAGCTTCATCTGGATTTATAGACAGATATAGCTGGGTATCATCAGCGTAACAGTGGAAATTAATCCCATGCTGTCTAATAACTCTACCAATTGGGAGCATGTATAAAGTAAAGAGAATTGGTCCTAGCACTGATCCCTGTGGTACTCCACAGGTAACCTTTGAGCGTGTTGAAGATCTATCATTAACATGAACAAACTGAATTCGATCAGATAGATAAGATTTAAACCAGTCTAGTGCTGTTCCTTTAATTCCAACAAAATATTCAAGTCTTTTTAAAAGAATATTATGGTCAACTGTATCAAATGCAGCACTAAGATCCAACAGGACGAGCACAGATACAAGTCCATTATCTGAGGCCATGAGAATATCATTAGTGACTTTCACCAGAGCTGTTTCAGTGCTATGATGAGCTCTAAAGCCAGACTGAAACTCTTCAAAAAGTTCATTATGGTGGAAGTGATCGCAAACTTGTTTGGCAACTACTTTCTCAAGAATTTTGGATAAGAAAGGAAGATTGGATATAGGTCTATAATTGACCAAGTCATCTGGGTCAAGAGACGGTTTCTTAAGCAGAGGTTTAATTACAGCAACCTTAAAAGCTTTAGGTACATATCCCTGTAACAGAGATAGATTAATCACATCTAAAATGGAGGAGGAGATCAAAGGGAATACCTCCTTAAATAACCTGGTTGGAACTGGATCTAACATACAAGTTGAAGGCTTAGATGAAGACAATAATTTTGCTAATTCAGAGAGTTCAACTGGATCAAAGCAGTCTAAACCCGGTTCAGATTCCATGACTACCTCAGGTACAATCGCGGATAGAGGAGTGCTTATGATCTTATTTTTAATAAGATCAATCTTATTTATAAAGAATCCCATAAAATCATTGCTGCTAAGAGCAGGTGGAATGGACGGTTCAACAGAGCTATGGCTCTGGGTGAGTTTGGCAACTGTATTAAAAAGAAATCTAGGATTATTCTTATTCTCCTCTATTAATGAGGAGAAGTATGCTGCTCTTGCTTTACAAAGAGTCCTCTTATACAGCAGTAAACCATTTTTCCAGACTAGGAAGGACTCTCGCAGGCCTGTGGAGCGATATTTTCTCTCCAGTTTCCTAGCATTTTGCTTCAAAGTACGCAGCTCTGCATTAAACCAAGGAGCAAGCTTTCTATTTTTAACGGTTTTCATTTTCAAAGGAGCTGCGTTGTCTAAGGCAATACGCAGAGAACTAGCAACCCCATCAACAAAATCATCAACCTGTGAAGGGGAATAAGCTAAGCTTTTGCACTCTGCAGCACTGCTCAGTGACACAGATGAGAGAGAAAGTGAAGCAGATTCTTTAAAATTTATAACTGCACTATCTGATAAAGATCTACTAAAATTGAACCTTCTTTTGGGGGAGGAGAACTCTGTTAAAGTAATCCTGAAGGTTATTGGAAAGTGGTCAGAGAGGACAGGGTTGTGAGGAAATACTGTTATTTCTTCACATTCTATGCCGTATGTCAGCACAAGATCCAAAGTATGAAGATGAGAATGCGTGGGACTATTCACATGTTGAACAAAGCTAATAGTGTCTAAGATAGCATTAAAGGCTGCTCTTAAGCTATCGCCTTCAATGTCAGCATGGATGTTAAAATCTCCCACTATGATGACCCTGTCAGTATTTAATACCAAATCAGAAAGGAACTCTGAAAACTCATCTAAAAATTCAGAGTAAGGACCTGGTGGACGATACAAAGTTACAAAAAGAAGAGGTTTTCTTGCCTTGAAATTTGGATCAGGGAAATTAAGGGTTAAATGTTCAAAAGAGTTGTAGGTATTAACTGTTTTGGGAGTAATCAGTAAGTCAGACTGGAAGATTGTTGCTACTCCTCCTCCTCGCCCAGAACTTCTGGGGATGTGAAAATTTAAATAGCTTGAAGGAGTTGCCTCATTTATGCTCACATAATCCTCTTGCTGCA